TTTTTTTTTTTTTTTTTTTTTTTTTTTTTTTTTTGTTTTTTTTTTTCCTGATTTTTTAAAATTTTAATTTATTTTCTTATTATTCCATAAAATACAAAAACAAAATTTAAATATCTTTTAATTTCTTATAAATTTAAAATATTATATCACAATGTTATACATTACAAATAACTAAAATTTAATTTTATTTTTTTTTTTTTAATATCTTGAATATATCATATAGGTAACAAAAAATTAAAATTTTACTTTAACTTTTCATTACTTTATAATATTTTTAAATAAACTAAATTCTTCTTTGTTTTTTGAAAATTAAATTTTAACTAATAAAAGCTTTACCGTTCTTTTTTGCTTCAAATTTATCAGCAATATTTTCTATATCAGATCTAATAAAAAAAAAAAAAAAAAAAAAGTTGTATATATATCAAAATATTATGAATACTATATATATGTGTATAATTGTTAATAAAATTACAATAGCTCAGTGTCTTTTTCATGAGATTTCCAGTTTCTTAGAATATCATAAATACCATAATTATGAAGTTTTTCTCTAAAAAGAAAAAAAAATAATAAATAATATAAAATGAAACAATAAGGTATAAAAATTAAAAAAAAAATATATTTATATATATATATATATATATATATATAAAAAAGATATATAAATAGATGAATCACCTTGAATAATCCTTTTTACATAGATATAATAAAATAATAATAATTCTACTTTTAATTATTGAACAGTTAATTAGAACTGTTGCCTTTTGTAAAATTATATGATGTATATTATCACTTTTTTCTACGTTATTTGAATTATATATATTATTACTACATAAAGAATAATTATTTGTATAAATGTACGATAATATATATGGAAATAAAATACAACTGTCATGAAATAAATAATTATGAGTAGTTTCATTTAAACATAAGTTTATTATAAATGGTAATATTGCCCTAAATCTATCCTTATTTAATATTTGTTCACTTATTTTATTTAAAAATGAGACATTTTTAAAAAACAAAGAACTTTCTTTGATTGAACTTATATTTATTAATATATGTGAAACATATATATATTTATCGTTAATATTTTTATTAATTGATGGTTTTATTGGTAAGAAAAAGAAATATAATAATTTATTTAAATAATAACTAACAAAAAACTTCTCTTCATTTATATCAATATTAGTATCTTCTTTTAAATCAAGTATTTTATATATTCCTTCTTTACATCTTGTTATATTAGATATTATCATTATATATAAATCGATACAATTTTCTTCATATTTTTCTTCTTCTTTTACCATATCAAACAATATTTCTATTATATTTCTTTCAGTTAATTCTAAAAAATTTAATATATATAAAAACAAAAAAAAAAAAAAAAAAAAAAAATATATATAAATGTATATTTATAAATTCAATGTTTTTTTTTTTTTTTTTTTTTTT